CGCTACTCACGCTCCCCGGCCCGGCGGGGCGGCTACGCGCCCCGCCGCAGAAGCAGGTGCGAGCCCGAAGGCGGGTGCGAGCCCGAAGGCGGGTGCGAGCCCGAGGGGTGTGCGCCTGCGTTTGGGCGGTGCCCACACTGGGGAGGGCGGGCTGCTGGGGACTGACCGCTTGGAAGCAGGACGGGTAGGTGCCCAAAATACGGGGTAGGGCAACCATCAAGGTGTTGAGGGTGGTCCCGGGCCCTGTTTATGGCATGCACTGTCGTAGTTGACTGCCAGCCTCCTGGTCTGTGTCAGTCATAGTGTCTGTCATACATACCCGTGGGAGCCGCCGGGGCCATCAGTCACTAACTGCCGGGCAGCCCCGGCTCCCTCATCTTCCTGTTGCTCGGGAGAGACCAAGTGCGGGTTTCTGACAGCTGTGGTCACTCGGTACTGACAAGAAGCACCAGTCAGCCAGGGCAGATTGGTTACGTATTTGGAAGTTGGCTCCTGAGTGTCTCCTGTAGCCCGGCACAGGAGAACGGCTGGGGGAGAAATGGAGCCTGTCACAAACTGAACGCCCGCCCAGGGGGACCGCTTTCTTGAGAATCCCACCAGGGAAACTCTGGGACTGCCTAGCCTGTCCAGAGGTGGTGCGCTGGCATGGAGAATGTGTGGGGTTGCCACCGCCACAGGTGTGGGTCAGAGCGAGGCACCTGAGTACCCTGAGCTGGGCCCCCCAGGAAGTTAGCACCCGGGTATGGAGTGAGGTGGAGAGGTGTGTCCTGCGTACTCGTGTGGGGTCCTGGCCCTGTTCTAGAATGTGTCCAGGGAGCAGCGAGGCTTTCCGAGGGAATTATGGGGAAAAGAACACTGCATATGCTCAACCGTGTTGGAGGCTGTGGACTTGGAAATTGGGGTGACTCCCTGTAGGTCCCTGGAGCCTCAAAGCCCTCCTCCTCTGCACCTAGGAGCCGCTCCCGTTCAGCTGACCGCTATAAGCGGGGCGCTCGGGGCCCCAGGCACCACAGTAGCAGCCGCAGCCGCAGCAGCTGGTCCCTGAGCCCGTCCCGAAGCCGCAGTCTGACCCGCAGCGGAAGCCGCAGCCAGAGCCGCAGCGGAAGCCGCAGCCAGAGCCAGAGCCACTCACCATCGCCCCCAAGGGAGAAGCTGACCAGGCCAGCAGCGTCCCCTGCTGTGGGCGAGAAGCTGAAAAAGTGAGTAGGGTCTGACTGGACCTGAGGGAGCGCCCCAGGGCTGGAGGGAAGGTGATGATAAGCTCGGGTGTGCGCACTGCCTGTGGGGGCCATCAAGGCCTCGGCTCCCAGAGGTTGTCGGGGGTGTGGTCCTGTCGAGGTCCTGTGGGTCAGGAACACATCCCGAAGGGGCTGATGGCAGTCCTGGGCCCTGTGGTGAGTGGCACTGCCATTTCCTCCCACCCAGGACCGAACCTGCCGCTGGTAAAGAGACAGGAGCTGCCAAAGTCAGTAAGAATTTGGAACTCGCCCGTCTAATTCCCGTCAGCAGCAGTGTCCAGAGCTGGGCCCGGTGGGCCTGCAGGGGGCCCAGGGGGAGGGGAGAACCAGCCCAGGGACTGGGGCGGGGCTACCCAGGCACTCTAAGTCTCACCCCTGCCTCCCACGGGGCTCCAGCTGGCCCCCAAGTCCCAGGCTCTTGGCTTAGGTGGGCTGGGCGAGCTCTGGGCACCCACGCCTATCCCACCCCTTCTCCCGCAGCCCAAGCTGACCCCACAGGAGAGGCTGAAGCTGCGGATGCAGAAGGCTCTGAACCGCCAGTGTAAGTCCCGCCCTGCAGTCCCGCCAGAGCCGGGAGTGGGGAAGCGTGGGTGACCTCAGCCTGCCTGAGCGGGTCAGGGCCCGTGCGGGGACTGAGGACAGCCCTCAGCCTCACCCTCCCTCCACAGTCAAGGCGGATAAGAAGGCGGCCCAGGAGAAGATGATTCAGCAGGAGCATGAGCGGCAGGTCAGACAGGGCTCAGGGGCGGGCGCTCGCTCGCTCGCTCGCTCGCTCGCTCGGGCGCATGGGAGGCCGGCCACCCTCACGGCTGTTTCTGCTGTTTCTGCTGCAGGAGCGTGAGGATGAGCTGCGCGCCATGGCCCGAAAGATCCGGATGAAGTAAGGCCCCGACCTGTGGTAGACCAGCCTCCAGCTGCAGGGGTGCCCCCCCACCTCCCCCACCCCATCCCCCCCCTTCATCGGGCTCCCAGTCCCTTGCCATTGCTGTGCTGATGTTCCGGCAGCTTCTTCCGCCGTTGCCCTAGGCCCCTCATGTCTAAACAGTGTCCCCAGACTCCGGCCTCCCCTCACCTGGCAACTGTCCTCGGTGTTTGTGCTTGATAAGCGGTGAAGTGAAACCTTGCCCCATGGTGGGTGTCTTAGGCCAGGGCCTTCTCCTTTCTCCTTTCTCTTCCTGCGTTATTTGTTGAGCTGTGGTCAGAGCCCCGGTCTAGATCGTAGGCTTGGGCCTCACTTCCTGCCGTCCTAAGACTGTCTGACTGGGTGGCATCCTCTTGGAGCCTGAAGTGAGGCAGCTCCTCTGACCCACCACACTAGGCAGCTAGGATCAGTACCCAGAGTCCTCAGCTTGCCCAGGGCCCTTCAGAAAAGCCCGGGCTGCTACACTGTATATCGATATGGAGGGAGCCAGTCGGGATGGGGGTCTCTGCCTGCCAGCTCTCTCTCAGGTGTGAGCTAACCCTTTGCTCTCTGATCTGCATTGCTCTTTTCTGGGGCAGAGGTGGGAACGGCTCCGCTCTCTGAAGTTGGGCATGTGGGAGCCTGCTGCTGCCATCATGCCACATTTCATAAAGATGCTCGCTTTTTCTTCCCTCTTTCTGGTTTTGGTCTTCCGAGACTGGGTTTCTCTGTATTGTTTTGGAGGCTGTCCTGGAACTCGCTCTGTAGTCCAGGCTGGTCTCGAACTCACGGAGATCTCTGCCTGTTTCTGCCTCCCGAGTGCTGGGATTAAAAGTGTGAGCCACCATCGCTCAGCTTTTTTTTTTTTTTTTTTTTTCCTTTTTGAGATAGGGTTTCACATTGTAGCTCTAGGCGGCCTGGAACTCGCTATGTAGCCCAGACTACATTTGAATTCACAGCAATCCTCCTGCTCCATCTTCCCAAGTGCTGAGATTACATGCATGAAACACCAGGCCTGGTTTGCTGAGAGCGGGAGAGGGAAGGAGGGCCGAGGAAGAGTCAGACAGCACGCCATGGTGTGTGCGGATGTCAGAGGACACCTTCGCAGACAAAGGACTCTGCTTCCAGTGTAGGGCCTGAGGATGGAACCCGGGTCGGGGCAGCATGCTAGCGACAGACACAGTGCTCACCCAGCCGTCTGTCGAAGGTCATCGTGCATTGCAGCTTTGGAGGAACAGGCGTTTCCCACCTGTAATCCCAGCACCGGGGAGGGGAGGGTCATGAGTTCAAGGCCAGTCTGAGCTACACAGGCAGACTCCGAAGAGCGGCCCAGAGACGTGTCCGCTGCTTGGCTTCTGGTGCTGTCGCCACGGCTTCACCTCACCACCTCCATGTCTGTCGCCTCACTTGACGCTGCTGGTCACTGGACAGGCCGCGCAGCAGGCCTGGCTTTCCTGGTGGGGCACATGGGTTTCCAGCCCGCAGGTACTCACCCCTCCCTGCTGGTTGCCTCCCCTCTCCCCCTGCAGGGAGCGAGAGAGACGGGAGAAGGAGAGAGAAGAGTGGGAGCGCCAGTACAGCCGCCAGAGCCGCTCCCCCTCCCCACGCTACAGTGAGTTTCTCCCCGTCTCTGCCTCAGGACTCAACCCGATTCCCAGCCTCAGAGGGGAGGGCACGGGACCAGGGTTACCTGGAGAAACCCTGCTTTAAACAATAAGGAAGAGAACCGTGGTGGCCCGGTAGTCAGGAGAGAGGGATAGGAGTCACTGCGGAGTTCGGGGTCAGCCTGGACTATAAGTGACAAACACAGACACACGCAGACACTGCCTCCATAAACAGCTAACGAAACGCTGTGCAGTCCCAGGCAGAGGGTCACTTGTAGTGTTTGGGAGCAGTCTACATTACACAGGGGACTCCATCTTATTTAAAAAGGTCCAGGACACGATGGTAAAAGCCAGCCAGGCTGCGGGATGTGTCCTGGGGAGAAATGGGAGGATCCACGTCTGAGTTCGAGCCTGTCTGGTCTACATGGCCAGTTTCAGGCTAGCAAAGGCTAACATAGGGGGACCCAGTTTCAGAACAAGCCGTGGCTTGAGGCACACAGATGGCCTGCAAGGGTGAGGGGAGGCTCCAACAGGCCAGGATGGCCCAGCGGAAGCTGGCTGACATCCCACTCCCTTCCTTTCCAGGTCGAGAGTACAGCTCTTCTCGAAGGTAAGGCTCCTGGAAGTCCCGTGTCCCTCCATTTGTTCCTGGGAAGACACTCCTCCCCTCAGCCCAGTCTCGGCATGTTGGTGCCTGCGTGCATGGGAGGGAGGCCCCGAGCATCCCCCCCTCACAGCCGTCTCCCTCCCCGCAGGCGCTCAAGGTCCAGGTCCCGAAGCCCCCATTACAGGCATTAGGCGGAGGACCGAGTGGGGACCGACGCTCTGGGTGTCTGTAGTGAAATAAAAGCTAACATTATTTAACGCCCTGCACCGCCTGCTGTCCTCTGACAAGTGAAGGACTTCCGGGGTAGGGGCAGCTGAGGACCGCTGCAGGGGTGGGGCAGCCTGCAGGGCGCGGTGTGCAGGGCCTGTCTGGGAGACAGGGGCCAATCCAGTCAAGGGCCCAGACTGGCATGTGCGGACAGGGCCAGTGGATGACGGGCTAGGACTGGACTGCGCCCAGGGGCCTCTGGCGACAGGTCCAGGCCTCTCCCTGCCCTTGCCCGGCCCCTGGCCTCACCCACACCAAGAACCGGGAACACGGCTTTGTGTGCCAGTGCTCCGGTGCCCAGGGCATTCACCCCCTTCCAAACCGGTCTGTCCAGCCATCTACACCCCAGACACCCCAAGAAAGCCAGAGTCCAGGCGCACGAGTACACAGAAGATGGTTTATTCACACAAAGGGAAGGAAGGAAGGACGAGGACGTAACAGGCCCGTGCTCAGGCCATCTCTGGGTGGCTCTGCAACAGGTGTTTGTCCAGTGTGGCCCGGAGGCCAAACGGCACACAGCAGTGTGGGCACTTGTATCGGGTACTGCCAGGCCCCAGACCATGCATGCGCTGGTGTCGCTTGAGCTTGCTGCTCTGAGCACAGGCATAAGGACACTGGTCACAGGCGTAGGGCCGCTCGCCTGTGTGGGAGCGCCGGTGGACTATCAGATTGCTGCTGTTGGCAAAGTACTTCCCGCAGAACTCACAGCTGCTCCCAGGCCCGCGGCTCTTGCCTGTGGACTTGGGGGTCTTCCTGGGTGTGGCTGTCTTGTCACTCTTTATGGGGTCAGTCCTTTGTACTTTGGTAGTGGCTCCCCAGTCAGCAGCGCCTGGGCCTTCGTGAGCCCCACTGCCAGGCGCCTCAGGTTCCTGAATCCCTGCTGTAGCTGCAGCTCCAGTCTTTTCCACCTGCTCTGGGAGTGTGCTGGCTGGGGCAGCTGCGTGGTCAGCCGGTTCTGGAGGGGCTGCTGGGGAGACCCCCCTGCCACCAGAGTTCCCAGGTGCCAACTGCCGGTGGGTCTTCTTGTGCCTGTTGAGCTTGCTGCTCTGAGCACAGGCATAGGGACACTGGTCACAGGCGTAGGGCCGCTCGCCTGTGTGGGAGCGCATGTGGACCTTGAGGTTGCTGAAGGAGCTGAGGGTCTTCTTGCACACCAGACAGGTGGGGCTCTGCCGGGCAGCACTGCTCACCGCGGGGGGCTTGTTGTCCTCAGCTGGCCCTGCCGCTGGCACTGCTGACACGGCTGCAGCCACCTCAGCCAGGCCCAGCAATGGGGACTCCGGAGTCTCTGATTCTGTCTGATAGATGGATAGCCCGTGATCCCACTGGGCGTGGCGTAGCAGCTTCCAAGCTCCGGCAAACTGTCTACCGCACCTCAGGCAGCTCAGAGCCTTCAGCTCCTTGGATTCTGGAAAAGGGAGGAGAGGGGAGGGAATCAGTGTGGGTAGGATGGTCAGCAGTCTTCCAGCAAGACACAGATGCTGCCCTCAGGAAACTTCCATGTTAGGGGGAGGTCGGCAAGGCCCAGGAGCTGGAGAAGCAGATCTTAGCACGAAACCCCAGAGCTGGTACCTGGATTACAAATTGGACTTTTTTTTTTTTTTTTTTTTTTTTTGCTTTTTCAAGACAGGGTTTCTCTGTGGCTTTGGAGCCTGTCCTGGAATTCGCTCTGTAAGACCAGGCTGGCCTCAAACTCAGAGATCCGCCTGCCTCTGCCTCCCAAGTGCTGGGATTAAAGGCGTGTGCCACCACCGCCCAGGGCAAATTGGACATGTTCTCTAGACCCAAGGTGTACAGTACAACTACAGGACACTTTCCAGAGCCACCTAAACCCCAGACCGTCTTGGGTGGAAGGAAAGGAACCTTAATGTTATCAGGCCAAGGCCAAGCAGTAACCCAGTCAACTCAAGACCTTTCTTCCCTAGCTGCCTCAGTTTCCTAGGCTGCTAGAGCATGGGGATCTGAGGGCCCCTTCCAGGGCTGTGACTTCAAATAGGGAACAGATGAGAGTTCTGGTCCCTATAAACCCTCAAACATGAGCTGAACCTAAGAGACCAAAATACCCACAGCTGAGTCAGGGATGGTGGAACTGGCCTTTAATCCCAGCAATGGGAAGGCAGAGGCAGGCTGATCTCTTGAGCTTAAAACAAAAACGAAAAGGTACCCACAACTATCCAGGTCTGTAATACCAGTAATAAATACCAGCCACCTAGGTGAGGGCGACTCCACACACAAGTGCTCACCAGTCAGCGCTGGAGTGTTTGCTACTCAGGTTAAATCCATCCTCGCCCCGCCCTCAAACTGAAGATGATTGGATTATAGACACTCCCTGGCCCAGCCCTAAATATAATTCCATTTCCCAGGTTCCAGCCAGGCACTTCATGAGCAGGGGGCTGGAAGTTCAAGTTCAGATCAAGTCCCTAAATCCTGTAGCCAACAGGAGTTCACTCCACACACCAAGCACAACGCGAATTTTAATTCCTCCTCCATATTCCGACTCTTGAGTATCCAACGCCCGACCAGGGGCTTCCCAGCACTCAGCGGGGAGATCCCAGAGAGGGAACACTCCAGAAGCCTCTTCCCTGGCTCTGAACTGCCCGATCATAAGGATCGAAACAGTAGGGGTGGCAAACTCGGTCCCTGCGGGCCTCCAACCCTTCGCGGAGGCCACTGTCCCCACCTTCCCCAGGTCCCTCTACTGCCAACGCTAGTCCAGCCACCTGGACAGCTATTTCTGTCCGTGGGGAAGGAGAAGTGAAACCAAATTGGGGGTGTATGGCAAAACCCCGGCCGGTCTTCTGGGGCTGGCCACACCTTGTGGGTGGCCTTCCTCCGCTGCCCAGCCCCCGCCCTACCTCTAGTCCCTGCCCAAGGACAGGCAAGCCCAGGCCACGCCTAGGTTCTACCCTAAGGGGAGAAAGGGGAAGTAAGATCGGTGCCCCATCCGTCCACCTTAGCCCCTCTCCCGCAGGGCAGGAAGCCCAACCCTGGGTCGGAGGGGGGGGGGGACACTGCACGCGGAATTGCTTACCTGAAATGGGGCCGCTGCCTTGGAAGAGCTGACAGCCCAGCTTTTTGTGGTTCATGAAAGCGACGATGGCCTCCAATGGGAAGGTCTGCTGGCAGCGGCCGCAGGTCAACAGATCCGGGTGCTTGTCGGTCCAGGGCTGGCGGTCTGCAGGGAGGAAGCGGGTGATGAGTGGTGGGGTGGAGCCCGGCTAGGAGCGAGGGCTGCAAGGTGAAGAGGGGAAACCCGGAGGTCAGAGGCGAAGGCCCGGGAGGCCAGGCCGTCCCGGGGCTATGCCCAGGGGAGAGGCACCCACCCGAGGGTCCCGGGGCACGCAGGGGCGAGGGCTGGGGACGCCAGGCCGGTCCCGGGCCAGAGGCACCCACCCGAGGGTCACGATGCGCGCAGGGACCAAGAGCGGGGACTCACCGGAAGGTTCAGGGTTCAGCGGGATCCACGGGGCCCACAGGCTGCGCGTGCCGAAGGGGCTCGGGGCGGTGTCGAGGCGACGCTCCGTACCGAGCCCCGGCATGGACACGTCCTTCGGGGACCTGGGCTCCAGGGCCAAGGCCCCCGCTTCGCGCTCCGGCTTCACATCAATGATGAGCTCGGGAATCTCCATGTCGTCCTGGTCGGGCTCGAGTTCTACACGGCGCGGCACGCAGCCGGCCTTGCGGCGGGACATGGGGCGAGGGCGCAGGTCCAGACAGCCCGCTCGGCGGCCGGACGCTCAGGTGAGTGGCCCGCGGAGACCCGCGCCGAACTTTTTACACGTGCTGGTCCTGCGGTGGCTCCGCCCATCGGGGCGGGGCCTCGCGAGGCCAGTCGCCGCGGCCAAACCCCACCTCCCGGCCCAGCCGGCTGCCCCCGGGCCAGCGCGCACAGTGTCGCCTCCGCTGGAGTCGAAATCACGCCAGTGGAAGAAGCTGTTCCCAAATCCCCCGTAGCGCTGCTGCTACCCGAGGCTTGGGGATGTCCCGTCTCATACACCAAGGAAGTGGTGGACACCTCTTACTACGTGGGAAGTATTCTAAGAAAACTTCACTCTTCCAATCTTCATCTTTTTTTTTTTAACTCTTTTTTTTTTTGTCTCCTCTAAGACAGATCTCAAGTAGCCCAGGCTGACCCCGAACTGGTTAAGTAACAAATAACAGATGATGGCGTCGACTTTTTGATCTTGCCTCCACCTCTCCAGCGCTGGTTTTTACAGGGGTATATCACCACACCTATTTCATGTGGCGCTGGACATCGAACCCAGAACTTGTATTCTAGGTAAACGCCCGACCCACTAGGCTACATACGCAGACTTTGGCACCCGATTTCTTGAGCACCCACAGTGCTAGCAGTGAAGAAACCATCCCATAATACTTACAATGTGGACATAGGGGGTAGCATCGAGACGAGAAGATGACCCCGGTGCCTTCTGGTAATCCCTGCAACCCCGGAGGCTGAGAAGCACAAATTCAAGGCCACCTGGGGCTATTTCATAGCATATGGAAGCAGATTGCCCTGGGGCAAGATCAAGCTGTACCAGGAATGAGCAGCCGGGGCAGAATGGAAACCTAGGAAGGTAGTAGTACCCATTGCAAACCGGCGATCTCAGCGTCGGGAATGTGGACGCGGGATAGGCAGTTCACAGCCGGTTTCAGTCCAATACATGGGGAGTTTGAGACTAGTTTGGGCTACATGAGACCCTGCCAAAAAATAAATAATTTTTTTTCTTAAAAACAAAACTGTTAACCCTGCCTCGAAAAACCAAAACCAAAAAAAAAAAAAAAAAAAACCTGTTTTTGGTGGTAAACACCATAATCCTGGTGCTCCATCCCGGTGTCAGAGGCAGGAGGATTGCCAGAGAGTTAGTTCCTGACCAGCCTGGTCTACGTAATGAGTTCCAGGCCAACAGGGATACAACCTAGGGAGATCTTGTCTTATAAGAAATCTGAGGTGGTCTACAGAGCGAGTTCCAGGACAGCCTCCAAAACCACAGAGAAACCCTGTCTTGAAAAACCAAAAAAAAAAAAAAAAAAAAAAGGAAATCTGAGGATCTGAGCTTCGTGAGGGAATCGAGGAAAGCCAGGATCCTGCGCATTCAGGACTAAAGGGAGGGTCTTTTGTTAACTTTGAGGTCTGTTGCTTCTGCTACCGGGGGTCTGGGAGGGCTTGAGGCCAAACCGAACGAAAATCATGTGCTCTCTTCCCAATCCCATGCTATCCAAATAAGTGGCCAGCAGTGGTCCCCCCTGCCTCCATCCGGGGCCCCTGAAATTCCCCTCTGAGAAGAATGTTCTCGGTTGCACTGTTGGAAGTGGCACGGACACAATCATTTGCGAGTTTCTCTCCTTTTCCTGGCACCTACCACATGACAGTAGAAAGTGTTTGTTGACTACCCCCCTCCAAACACCCAGGCTTCAGCAGGTTAGGCTGCCCCAGGTGTCCTCTGGCGGCTGAGTGGATTCTGAGGCTGAGCTCTGGAGCCCCTCTTGTTATTCAGGTATGGACTCAATTGTCCTCCTGGGCCCAGGGCCTCCCTGGCCAGCCTATCTAAAGTAGCCACACCCTGCTGAAGGCCTTGCAAATCACTCCAGATGACCTCCATCTGTTCCCATTTCCCTCACAGCCGCAATTTCCTCCACTCTTGAAAGAACTGGGAGATGCTGGGCCTAGAGAGTCATCAAAGGTGGCTTTTTTTTTGGGGGGGGAGAGGTTTCTTGTAGCCCTGGCTGTCCTGGAAATCACTCTGTAGACCAGGCTGTCCTTGAACTCAGAGAGATCTGTGTGCCTGCCTTGCCTCCTGAGTGCTGGGATTAAAGGCGTGAGCCACAGTGCCTGGCCCAAAAGTGGATTTTTAAATGTACTTTTAAAAATCATTAAACCAATTATTATTAGTCTATTTAAAATGTATCTATTTATCCCCCCATGTATGTGTTTACCCCTCCCCCTGTGTGTGTTTGCATATGCGGCAGCAAGAAGTGGGGGAGGGTCACAGGACAGTTTCCAGGGATTGGGTCCCTCCTTCCTTCCACTATGTGGGTCTAGGCAATTGAACTCACCTTCTTAGGTTTGGCAGCAAGTTCTAAGTCACTGGGCTTGCTCACCAGCCCTTCCTCCCTCCCTCCCTTCCTTCCTTCCTTCCTTCCTTCCTTCCTTCCTTCCTTCCTTCCTTCCTTTTTTTGAGATGTGTGAGGGTTAGGGCTGGTTTGTTGGTGGTGTTTTTTGTTGTTGTTGTTGTTGTTTGTTTGTTTGCTTATTTTTGAGACAGGGTCTCTATGTAGCCCTGGCTGTCTGAGGACTCGCTATGCAGACCAGGCTGGCCTGGAACTCATGGAGGTCTTCCTGCCTCTACATCCCTAGTGCTGGGATTAAAGGTGTGTGCCGCCACTGCCCAGTGATCTTGGTTTGTTTATTTGCTCACTTTTAGCCCGTTTTGTTCCCCCAACTGGAAAGAGAATACAGTTTTATATGGTTTTTCAAGACAGGGTTTCTCTGTGTAACAGTCCAGGCTGTCCTGGAACTCATTTTGTAGACCAGGCTGGCCTCAAACTCACTGAGATCTGTCTGTCTCTGCCTTCCAAGTGCTGGGACTAAAGGCATTGGACACCGCCCGGCCTCCACCACCACCACCGCCCCAGGCAACTTTTCTCACTTTGTAAATTAGGGTGGCAGGGAGGGCTGAAGGACAAAACGAATGACCTCTGTCCATCCAGGATGCAGCACCCTGGAAGCCCTCTTCCTGGTATGTGAAGGCTGAGAGAATTGTGGGGTGGGGTCGGCTTCCTCCTGGAGGGGGGGTGTGGACTTAGGTACTTCCCTAGAGGCTGAGAGGAAATTAATCTCTCTCTCTGTCTGTCTCTGTCTGTCTGTCTGTCTGTCTCTCTCTCTCTCTCTCTCTCTCTCTGTGTCTCTGTGGGTATTTATATATATATTTTTGCGCAGGATGATCCTGAGCTTTTGAAGTCAAGTACTGAGATTACATTCCTGGGACAGTACTCGTGTCCCCCACCCCCCCACCCCACCCACCCCTTTCATTCATTAACTCTGTAGCCCAGGCTGTCAGGCCTCGAACTTCGACAATCCTCCTGCCTCACCTCCCGAGAGCGGCGGGGATTCCAAGCCTGGGAACCACCATGTGCCACTTTTTGAGCGTCAGTTTCGTGCTCCCTAACAGTGGGCATCTTAGACGTCCCTAACTCGCAGGCTGGCAGAGGCCAGGGCCGGCCTGGCGACCCACAAGTGACCAGCGACCCACAAGTGACCAGCCAACACGTGCGGGAAGCGGAGGCGCGGGCGGAACCCAGGCGCGCGGGGCTCGGTGCCCACCCGGACCCATGTGGCGATTGCTCTGGCGGAACCCAGGCGCTGCGGGCTGGGTGCCTGCCGGGACCAGTGCGGCGGCGGCCAGGGCGGAAGTACGGAGCTTGCGGCGACAACCTGGGTGAGTACGCAGTGGCCTCGGGTGTCCACCCAGTCTGCCGCGCGCCGCAGGATTAGAGCTGCCGGGAGGGGACGACCTGGGGGGCGCAGTGCTCCAACGCAGGGCGGGGTCGGAGGTGGCTGCCCTGGGGCGGAAGGACGAGCTTAGAATTTGAAAGGGAGGACACTAGCAGGGATCGAAAGGGAACTGACCTGCCCGCGGGCGTCGGGGAGGGACCAGGTCCTGCCCTCCTGCGGCTTAGTCTCTGAAATTGCCCTGGTTAGCGAATTTGCATGGGCGGCGGGAGTGTGGGGAAATGGGTACCTGTCTGCTAGCCTGGGACTCAGCCAGATGCTATCGTGGTAACGCCAGGTGGACCTGGTGTTCTCCAAGCGGATCCATTCGTTGCTTTTTTAAACTTTCTTTCTTTTCTTCTTCCCCCTCCCTCTCCCTCCCTCCCTCATAGGAGGCAGAATAGCCCCTGCCTGGTTGGTTTGGATTTTGTGTCCCATCTTCGCTTGCCAAGTTTTATGGGCCTGCCCTACCGTAAACAATTCATGCTAAACCGATGATGGAACCCAATTTTGCACGTGCTGTACAAGTACTCTACCAATTGAGCTATGTCTCTAGCCTTCCCTGCCCCCTTCCCCCCTCCCCTTCCCGTGTAAGTCAGGGAGGGAGCTGTAGAACTCTCCTCCTAGCAAAGACTGCCCTGGGTCTAAACTGTGCCCTGTCTCCATCGGCCAAGTGCTGGGATTACAGGTGTTGGCCAATGCTTCTAGCTCTGCTCTCTTTAAGGCCCCAACGAGGGCCCTGTTACCTGCTGGCTCTTCATTGACCAACAGATTAGCCAGGCATTGGGATGGATGTGTTTGGACTTTCGCCTCTGGGCAGTAATTCCATGATCAAGAGCTCTGAGGTCAGGTCAACGGGCAAGATAGCTAATTCTAGTTGTCCTTGTCTTCTAGACATACTCTTCCTTTTCTCAGATTTTTGTTTTCTTTTAGAGACAGGGTTTCTCTGTATAGCATTCCTGGCTGTCCTGGAACTCACTCTGTAGATCAGGCCTCAAATTCACAGAGATCCTTTTACGTCTGCCTCCTAAGTGCTGGGATCAAAGGTGCGCACCACCACCACAACGTGGCTATTGCTTAAGAGAGGAACATGATAGGGATTCTAATTCTTTTGTGTGCTTGACACGGGATGTCTCTCGAAGCCCAAACTGACCTCCAAATTGATTTGTAGCCAAGGATGACCTTGAATTTTTCATTTTCACCCGAGTATGGTGTTTATATGGTACTGGGGATGGACTCCAAGGCCTCCTATTTGTTAGGGAGCCTGTGCACCAGCTGAGCCATAGTCTTAGCTTTTAGATGTGGTTTTTGGTTGTTTTTTGAAACAGGGTTTCTGTGTAACCCTAGCTATCCTAGAACTCTGTAGACCAGGCTGGCCTTGAACTCACAGACAGTTCTGTCACTGCCTCCAGAGTTCTGAGATTAAAGGTGTGTGCCACCACTGCTGGGCAATATTCTTAGCTCTTCAGTCGTTTTTTTTTCTTAATGTAAGTTCCAGCTGTCACAGGCACATTCAGGGCCCACTTTGTGTTATCGGAAACGTCTGAGGAGAAAGCTCCTGCTGGAGTAGCTGCAGTTGGCTGCCTCTCCCCGACCTCTGACAGCCTAGACTAGCAAAGTGAAATCTTGCCTCATTTCTGCAGCAAGGTGGCTCACCACCAAGCCGACAGCCTTCATGTGGTTCTCTCCTTGGTATTCATGCAGTTGGACTGACACCTGAGAGTCCCCCTCTGACCTTACCTACACACACTCACTCACACACACACACATACACACACACACACTCACTCACACACACTCACTCACACTCACTCAAAACCAAAGAAACCCAAGATATTGCAAACTCTAAAAAAAAATTGACAGGGTCTCTTTAAGCCCAGGCTGCTTTCATTCAGCAGTTGCAGTGTATAACTATTCCTTGGATCATTCTGGATCTGGCCGGCAGGACTGGAGAGGCTTTATCTCAGAGTGGCTGCCATTCTTCTTAATGACAATTACTTATCCCCAGTGTTGTTAAAATGTCTAGGTTTACCCAGTAACGAGGCACAGACCGTGGCTCAGCGATCCCACTTGGAGTTTATTGGTGGACAGGGAGGGAAAGGGGGGTGAGAGCTGAGCTGAGACAGAGAGAGAGAGAGAGAGAGAGAGGAGATGGAGAGGAAGACGAGAGTAAAAGAGATCGTAAGCGGGCAGGGGTCAGTCCTTTAAAGGGGTCCTCTGCACCTGCATGGTTCTCACAGAACTCTGGGCTGCACTCTTGCTGCCTGAGTGCATACTGCCAGGTAACAGGGCAGGCCAGCGTAATGCCTGAACCTTTCACCCAGAATCACAGAACACTGTTAAACGTAGGCAGAAAGGAGCTAAGGATGCAGTTCAGTTAGTGAACAGCTGGCCGGTCATGCTCGAGGGGTCCTGACTTCCATCCCTAGTAAGCCATAAACCCCATTGCAATCCTGATACGAGGAAGGTCCAGGTAAGAGGTCAGAAGTCCAAGGTCATCCTGGGCTACACAGAGTTCAAGGCCAGTATGTGCTAGGGACACTCTCATAAAGGAAAAAAAAAGGCAAAGGAGCCCGGGATAGTGTCACATGCCTGCCCAGCACCTAAGAGGCAGGGTGCCTGTGTGTTCAGAGCCAGCCTGTCTCCAAAACCATCTAACAACCACAGCCAAAATTCCCTCCCTGGCTATGGTGAGGAGGTGAAGCACCGGCCTGGCTTCTATTGGAGCTGTGTGTGGCTTTAACCCCTTCTGCGTTCTCCCTCAGCCTGGGCCATGCAGACCCCGCGGACCATTCCTGTGCCGGTGCCGGTGCTCCGCCTCCCTCGGGGCCCCGATGGCTTCAGTCGAGGATTTGCCCCTGATGGACGCAGGACCCTCCTGAGGCCAAACGCCCCAGAAGTCGGAGAAGGTGCTCAAGACCCCCCAGAGCTGCAGGAACAGCGGGCCCGGGCCGCTCTCCGAGAGCGCTACCTCCGCAGCCTCCTAGCCATGGTGGGGCACCCTGTGAGCTTCACGCTGCACGAAGGTGTGCACGTGACCGCCCAGTTTGGAGCCACAGACCTGGATGTAGCCAACTTCTACGTGTCCCAGCTGCAGACTCCCATAGGCGTGCAGGCGGAAGCCCTGCTTCGATGCAGTGACATCATTTCCTATTCCTTCAAGCTGTAGGCCCTGCCACAGCAGCCCAGGCCTCCAGCTGTTTGTTCCCGGGCCAGAGAGCTCTCCACACACCCGCCTACACTTCCAAATCAAGCTCCACGGAACCCGGCTTTGAGTTCAGGGGAATGCCAGATACCACCTGGTGCTGCGTGCTGACCGGAAACTCAGGGCCAGCCCATGCTTCAGTGGGAGACTGCAACAGACATTCTAGATTTCATTTATTAAAAGGAACGTTCTACCTCATAGAACTGAGGTCTGCAGAAACAGGGCCCCAGGCTAGTCCCTGAAGGGTGGGGTGATGACTCTTAGGGATGGAAGTCAGGGCCTCCTGGATGGTGGGCCCTGCCGGGGGTGGGGGTGGGGTGGGGTGGGTTGGGTGTGGGAGGTGTGGAGGGTTCCAGCCCAGGTGGACACTGAAGAGCTTGCTAAGCTGAACCTCTGAGGCTGAAGCTGCCTCTCCATCTCCCCTCCTGCCAAAGAAACCATGGTCCAAGGAAATCTGGCTCTTGTTTCTTTTTCTTCTTGGTTTTTCAAGACAGGGTTTCCCTGTAACATCCCTGGCTGTCCTTGAACTCACAGAGATCCACCTGCCTCTGAGTCCTGAGTGCTGGGATTAAAGGTGTGGGCTACCACTGCCCAGCTCTTTTTTCTTTGTAAATTTTATTATTATGTGTGTGTGTATGTGGGTGTTTTGCCTGCATGGACATGGATGTCTTTGTATCACATACACGCAGTGTCGGCTGAGGCAGGAGAGGGCATCAGATCCCCTGGAACTGGAGTCACAGACAGTTGTGAGCCACCATGTGGGTGCTGGGAACTGAGCCTGGGTCCTCTGCCATGGCAGCCAGCGCTCTTAACCGCTGAGCCGTCTTTCCACCCACCCCCAGTCTGTTTTGAAGACAGGACAGGCTGGCTTGTAAGTCACAATCCTGCCTCAGCTCCCCAAGTGCTGGGCCTGCAGGTCAAGCTACCACACTTTTCTGTCCCCCACCCCCCATGGAAGAGGGTGCCATGTTTAACATCTTTTTAGTTGTTTTTTTTAATTTAGGTGTTACATCTGTGCACTTCCTAAGTGAGGGTGCGGTGGAGGTCAGATGAGGAGTTGGGGTTACAGGCGCCAGTGAGCTACTAGACATGGGCGCTGAGAACAGAATTCAGGTCCTTTGGAACAGAGGAGCAGGTGCTCTTAACTGCTGACCTGTTTTTCCAGCCCCTGGAGTAGTACTTAAAAGGGAGTTGGGTTAGCCCACAATTGTGGCACACACCTTTAATCCCAGCACTTCTCTGAGCTCAAGGCCAGCCTGGTCTACAGAGTGAGGTCCAGGACAGCCAGGGCTACACAGAGAAACCCTGCCTTGACCAGACAACACACCCCCCTTGCCAGGTGGTTATTTCAGGCTAAAACCTGTGGGGCTATGCCATGGTGGTGAGGGACGGAGGTCAAAAGGGGATTGCATTGCTCCTGGTCTCCTCAAACAGCTGGCGTTCTTTGGGCAAGAGATCGGTTGTTTTCTTTATCTTTATTTTTATTTATTTTTTGACATGGTTTCTCAGTGTAGAGACCAGGCTGGCCTCAAACTCACAGATCTGTCTGCCCAGCAAGAGACCAGTCCTTAAATTTATTTTGAGGTAGGTAAGGATGGCCTTTTACCAGGAAGAGGGCTTACCTTACCTTACAAGGTTGTGTATCTCAGGCTCCTGGACCTCGGGTGATGTGGTCCAGCACAGCAGGGGACGGGAGTGGTGGTGTCCACAGGTTGCTGGGTGACAGTGTTAAAGATTGACAGCCGGAAGCATCACCATTCCTGTTTGTCCAGCCTCCCGGTGAGGCAGTCTGTGTCACCTGTTTCAGTCCGTCCCTTGTCACTAGAAATCTTCCAGTAGGTGGTATTCAACAGCAGTTCCCAGCCGGGTGTTCAGGTACAAGCCTGTAATCCCAGCCCTTGAGGTGGGGAGGGGAGCCAGAGGGGTTCAGGACAGTCTTGCCTGCCTAGCAAGTCTGAGGACAGCCTGGGCTACGTGAGAACCTGCCAACAAACAAAAACCTTTTAGTTTAAGCTTAAGTGAACGAGGAGCGCATTAATTACAGGGACTTTTGGTAATTCTCAGCCCCCAAAGTGAGGCCACCCAGAGCTGTGAACAGGGAAGCGCTTACCCTTAGCGTAGCCTCAGCTCACGCTGACGCCTCCTGTCAGTGCCCGCCTAGTCTCTGGTTGTCTTGGCAACGTTGGGTTCGCTCCTCCCTGAGTCCCCTTTTATGGTTTCGGCCCCTGGAGCCCTGGCCAGCTCGGTCTCGGTCCTGAGCCGAATCCCGAGCGGTGGAGTCGATTCCTCGGAGGCGTGGCTTGGGCTCGCCGAGCTTTGGGTCAGCTGATTCATCTCTCTCCTTTGGAATGTCTTCCAGGTTTTGTTTTTTTAAATCAGGCGCATGAAATACCCCACAGACTCGTTTGTTTTAATAATGTAGTTCACGCTTGGCACGAGTCTGACCAGACACAGTGAAGCGAAAATCTGCAGGGCAGAGATGCCATCCGTCGGCTTCCGTCACTCGTACGTCCTGAGTCCAGCTCAGTTCTCGCAGCCTCTCAACGCCTCCAGCCCGTTTCCCGGCTCCCGGCGCTCGGTTTAACCCCGCCGGGGCTCGCTCTACAGCTCCCTATGGAGCCCAGCAAGGCTGGGAATCACAGGCGTGCCGCTACCATGCCCAGCGTTGGTTCTTTTTTAAATCGATGTCTCTGATCCTTAACCTACATTTAAGTCTCTCATTATTTCTTGCGGACGGGTGCGTGGAGATCAGAGGACAGTTTTGTGGCGGCGGCTCTTCCCTCCCTCTTTTACGTGGTCTCGGGGATCGAACTCAGCTGGCAGTCCTTTGGCAGGCTCCGGTGACGGGATTCCTACCGAATCCACTCCCGAGTTACGTGCGCTCCTGACGAATGTGCGGGAGCCTGAGTGTTGACAGCTGGCGTGAGAGAGGGGCGGCTGCGACTCGCGCGTGCGCGCTGCTCCGGGAGACGGCGTCCACCTGGCCCCGCCCCTGCCGTTCTGCGGTTCTGGCTCTGCAGATTCGCCGCTCACGTTTCTCTTCCCCGCGGATCCCACCGCTCTTTGTCCCCGTCTCCGCGTCGCTCTCGAAACGACTCTTCCAGAACAAAAGCTCGAGTCGGCGTTGCGCTTCTCTCGCTGCGCAGCGGGCGCCTCGGGCTGTAACGAAAGTGTGGCTGCGGACGAGCAGGTACCCGCGGAGCTAGGCAGAGGCGCGTTGGTGCTCCCGGCGGCGGCGGCGACGACGACGACGACGAACGGAGAGGACGGAGGCGGCGCCTGAGGCAGCGGCGAAGCCCATGCCCCGGAACGGCGGGCGGACCCGGGGAGACGAGTCCGGGGCCCGGGGCATGTCCCCGGGGCCCCCGTGAGGAGGAGGAGGCGGCGGCGATGGAGATCCCGCCGCAGGAGGCTCCGCCCGGACCGGGCGCCGACGCCGATGCCGACGCCGAGGAGGCCCCAGCCGAAGCCGGGTCTCCCAGCGCGGCCTCGCCGCCGGCCGACGGGCGCCTCAAGGCTGCAGCCAAGCGCGTCACGTTCCCGTCGGACGAGGACATCGTGTCCGGAGCGGTGGAGCCCAAAGACCCCTGGAGACACGGTAGCCACGGCGAGGGTGGCTGGCGGGGACCAGCCGGGGGTGGGGGCGGGTGGGACCGCGGCCGCGCCGACCCGCACGGAGGTGGCGCGCGGGCAGTGGCAGCCACCGGTGACTCGGACAGCGGTGCCTACGTTAGAGCTGGGGGCGGGGAGGGAAGACGCTCGCCCGGGGCTGGGTTCGCAGACCCTGACCGTCTGGGACCTCGGCAGCCAGCCCTGGGGTTCATAGTCCGTCCAGGGATGTGTGGGGAGAGCCCGTCCACAGCCCTGGGGGCGGGGGCGGGGGGGAGGCAAGCGTCTGGGTCCCCGGCGCGACGAGCGCGAAGCCGCTGCTCCGCAAACCTCGAAGCAAAGGGTGGCTACGGCCATTGCTCTCCTGGCTGGAGGGGGGGAATAAACACGGATTGCGTAGAGAGGTCGGGAAAAGAGGGGCAGGGGCAGAAAAGCAGAGGATGCGGTGGCCAGTTCGCCGGGGGGCGAGGAGTTCCGCAGCAAGGTGCAGCAGCAGAATGTGGAGCCCGGCTTGTTGGCGGGGTCTTCCTGGGGAAGGACTTAGGGAATCTTACCCACTCGGGCGTGTTTGTGGTCAACAGAGGGAGAAAGGCAGCGGCCTGTGTGTTGGGCTATGGGAAGATCTAGAGGTCGGGGCCTTTTGGGAAAGGTTGGTGGGGGTAGAACCGAAAGGGCACTTGGGAGCGCATTGGCTCCGATGGCCAGGGCAGGTGAAAGGTCACTGGGAAGTCGGGCACAGGTGGATCCCGTTTCTGTGCTGACGAAGTCTCCTTTGCTGGGGTGGATCCCGCGAACCGAGGGTGCCCACTGGCCGTGTTCTTAGAGGCTAACCTGCTTGTCCGGGAACGGACAGGCACAACTGCCAGGCTGTGGGCAGCAGAGTGGGCAGCTGGTGGCTTTGATGTGTGGGGGTGGGGAACTGGTTTGCAGGAAATGATATACTGGGAGCCCGCCACGAATGCCAGTTTGTCTAGTAATTATCAAAGAGACCAGGGTTAGCATAGCCTTGGCCAGGGGAGCCGGCCAGGGGCCGGGTGGTCTGTTTGGGGTTCTGAACTTCTGGGAACTGATGCTGAGGGCAGGGAGAGTCAGCTGGGCCCTGGCAGCAGCCTGGTGTCCAGTGTGGAGAGCTCAGAGCAGGAAGGGGAAGGCGGGGCAGCGTGGCCCTTCAGAAGTGGCTGTGTGCAGCTGTGAACCCAGCAGAGACCCAGGCTGGAGGGTGGCGCCTCTAGGAGGGCTTGGACTGCACGGTCAACGATGTTTGGCTATAAGAAAACAAAAGGAAGGAAGGAAGGACAGCTGGTTCGAACGGACATTCTCTCCTCCCATTTACGCTCTTTGCATCTGCAGAGGGGTTACCTAGTTCCCCGAGTCGAGCCTCAGCCCTGCCCCCTGCAGTGAGCGGCAGAAGCTATGATCCGGGTTACTGGAGACTGAGTGAAGTCCCACACGACCATTGCCTGGTGAGGTCAAGCCCTCCCAAGTCTGTGGTGATTACCAAGGCAGCCTTGAGGCCTGGAGACAGGCTGCTCTTTGGATGGGGCCACAGTGGACGGACTGTGTCAGGGCCTTCCGGGATGAGCTTTCAGGTCGTGGGCTTGGAGGTGAGCGCACTTGGAGTTGAGCATAGCTCTGGGCAAAGTTTCTGGCCCATAGTTTTCCTGAGAAGGCCAGGCCTTTTATTATTTTTTTAAATTAAAGTGTTTTGAGGCTGTCTTATAACACAGGCTATGTATGTATAGCTAAGGGTGACTTTGAACTTCTGACCCTCCTACCTCCGTCTCCTGAACGATGGGGTTACAGGTCTGTGCTCATTTGACGCAGGGCTGGGGTGGCGTCCAGGGCTTCCTCAATGCTAGGCAAGCGTTCTACCATAGAGCCATACTTGTAGCCTCCTATGTTTGTTGTTGTTTTTAAGACAGGCTAGAATTTGGTAGTCCAGCTGTCCTGGGGCTCACTGTGTAGTTCGGACTGGTCTCTAATGCATGCCGGTCCTCCTGCATCAGCTCCTGTCTCCAAGCTCTAGGATGGCAGGCGGGACCCACGGTGCCCTGAAAGGTTAGTCGGTTGAGAAAGCTGTTTCCCCCCCTGCCTCTGTTTTGTTTTGTTTTGTTTTGTTTTTGTCTCCAAATGGAGGTGCTGATATTCTCCTTGTAAGCATTAAACAAGGCAGCTCTTGTAGATTCCTGTCTTGTAAAGCAGCTAGTTGGATTGCTGCTGGTAAGGGTGACAGGTACAGGTGATGACGTCTCCAGGCTGGGGAAGCTGTCCCTCCCTCAGCTTCCAGAGTGACCGCAGGGACTACTCAGGGCTCACTGGTGGAGGACAGGGTAAAGAGGCAGCCATGACTGCTGCCTGGGAACACGCTTGAAGACTTGGCCTCTACGGGGGAGGATTGTGAAGGTGGCCTGTTTGGACAGAGAGATTTGCAGGACCATCAGCATCTAGGGAAAGGTGCCCAGGAGTGCCCAGGGTTGTCCAAGGCCCGGGGACTGCGGGGCATGTGAAACTTGATGGGGTCAGAAGGTTGGTGGCGGCCCAGTTGATCGACAGGGGTCTGTGAGGGAGCGGTCTGGCCTGGATCAGGGGCAGCAGATTGTGTGTTCTGTTTGGTCTCAGAGCCCGTTTAGCATGGGGGTATATAATTTGGGCCTTGTGGAACAGTGATGATCCCAAGCAGTGCCCTGAGTGACAGTCATTGGAGGGTCTGAGTTGAGGGACTCAGTTGTCTCAAATCCATTCTTTTTTTTTTTTTTTTTTTTTTTTTTTTTGGTTTTTCGAGACAGGGTTTCTCTGTGGCTTTGGAGGCTGTCCTGGAACTCGCTCTGTAGACCAGGCTGGTCTCGAACTCACAGAGATCCGCCTGCCTCTGCCTCCCAAGTGCTGGGATTAAAGGCGTGCGCCACCAACGCCCGGCCCAAATCCATCCATTCTTGTCAGGGAGACAGAGATGCTGACTGGGTCTGGGGGTGCTGGGAAGTAAAGAAGCCTGGGGCAGGGGAGCAGCTCTGAAGGAGTCTGCCAGCACCAGCTCCCACTCGGCCTCATCGGAGGGGCCAATGGCATGGCTGTGTCTGGGGCTCTAGGTTTCTGTCTGAGGGCTGGGGCCCCTTGATGTGAGCTGTCCTAAGGACCTGTCTCTGTCATTGTCACTCCCAGGGCAGGTGTTGTATTTCCCCTTGGTCCCTCCCGACAGAAAGGCAGCTAACCCTGGCCTTTCAGGCCGGCTTTCCTCAGCCCCGTCTGCAGCCCTGTAGCAGTGTGTCCAGCCCGAGAGGGAGGTTTCGGGACCCCACGGGCAGTGTGTGCTGGGCCTGCCCTGGCCTCCTCTCTAAGGCAGGGCCCGTGGGCTTTGCCTGTGGTTGGCCAGCTGGGAGGATGGAATGGCTGCCCATGGCTTGGGAGCTGGAGGCAGGTGTGGGGTGGGAAGTGAGACTTGGGGATAGGGAGGTGGTGACAGTCGTGAGGGGAAGAGGCACACTGGGCGCGTGGGCTGCCAGAGAGAGCTGGCCAGGCCTCCACTGAGGAGAGGTGGTCCCTTTGGGCCCTAGCCCTTCCCCGGAACCAAACCCCAGGAAAGTGCTCAGTTGACCTCAGCAGGCGCTGCTAGTCTGGGCTTTGCGGGGCAGGCTTGTGGGGGACTTGTGATCCAAGCACATGACACGGATGATACTGCCCGCCCTGCTCTTCCCCACCCTGCGGCCCTGACGGTGGCATATGGCCAGCTCTCCTCAGTCCTGGTGCTTCCCACTAGGAGGCTTCGCGTGAAGGTCCACGTGACCATCCCTGCCACCTGGGATCTGGGGAGAGGCTGGTGGGGGCAGTGGCCGTGCTGAGAACAGCCTTGCTGTTTGTTCTCCCTGGCTGTGCTCCTCGAACTGGTTTGACAGGTAGAAGTACATCTGGGAGCATTGTGACCACAGCAGTGGGAGCAGGGCAGGGCTGTGGTCCCGTGGCACGGCATGGGAGTCACAGTCTACACTCCTGTACCCATCCACAGGGCGCCTCCAGCCTCACACTCCTCCCTCCCCACTGCTTGCCCGTGACCCCCTCCACGTGCCTTCAGGCCCACTCCTTACTCTGTGGGTGGTGTCAGCCCCCGAGCCCGATCCTGTCGGTGGGCAAGTTGCCCGATCTCTGAGTAAACTACGTTGAGGGTGTGGGGGGCACCGAGACTTTCAGTCACCATCTACCAGGCCAGCCTGGCCAGGAGCCTGCGGAAGACTCGGGGCCAGTTGCTCTTCCGGCACGTGCTTCATGCTGCCTCGCTCTGGCCTGTGGACCCAGGTGGTGCCCAGCTTCTTAGACCTCCCGTCCCATGTGTTTCAAGACAGGGTTTACCCATGTGGCCCTGGCTGTCCTGGCACTCGCTGTGTAGACCAGGCTGGCCTCACACTAAGAGATCCGCCTGCCTCTGCCTCCCGAGTGCTGGGATTAAAGGGGTGCGTGGGGCCCGACCTTCCCTTCTGTTGTTGATTTGTGCTCCTGTACTGGCTCCCCAAAGGTGAAGCAGGCCCTTGCTCCAGTTCCAGTGTGGCTCTGGGTACAGGTGTGGGAGGGCCTGGGGGCCTTAGACGCCCTGTGCTGGCTGGCACTTGGGAGGAAGCTCTGGAGCAGGTAATCCGCTTTGTGCCAGGATAGGGCTCTTCCTCCAAGGTGCTAGGCAGGTGTTGGCAACACTCCTGAGCCCCACTGAAGCACTCAGCTGTGGCTGGCACAGTCCCTGAGCAGATAGCTCCTCCAGGGCATTGTTCCAAAAGGATTAAGATCTGGGAGCCACAGGCCTGGGCTGGACCTGCTGTGGGCCTCAGGGGCTTGGTTCTGCACCACAGACCTTCGCAGGCTGTTCTGACCTGGGGTCTGGCTCCCTGTGCTCGTGCTCTTCTGAGCAGCCTGCAGCTAACGGGGTGACCTTGGCTTGCTGCAAGTGCCCAGCAAGGTGAGCGCTGACATGTCTGACACAGGTGACGGCAGCGACTTTGCGGTAGA